GTGTGCGCCCGTGACATGCGCACTCGCGGGGGAAGAAAGGAACAATGCAACACCTGCAAGATCTGAAGGCAGACCAAACCGTCCTGGAGGACATGAAATCCGTTGCAACGGTGCTGCGAACTAAAGAACTGTAAATCTTACCAGTTGGTTGGTGTGAGGCGATCTTTTCTTCACCTGCGGACTTGAAACCATACGCAGTCATTTTGGTCGGGAAGATTCTAAATGCTACGTTGGAGATCTCGATAGCGGGCAGTCAGTTCAACATACCCAGGACAAATGGCGTTGACACTTTGATCACTGGATGTTAAATTTTGTACAACCTCAGAGTAAGATAGTATGACCCACGTGATCTTTTGAGGACCCAGTTTCACCGCCAGGATTGACGTGAGGTGGTTGACTCGAGGCAACGGTTATTTTCCTCCTGTTTCAGGCTTCAAGGGACTCACCAGCTGCCTTACTTACGTTGTCTGTCAGGTGGAAGTATGAGAAGGATGGAAGACTTGCTGAGTCAAAGGGCCACTAACAGGCGTATGTTCCGTTGCCCTCTGCGCTTACCAAGCCTTCAACGTGTGGTGAGACGCTTGCAGTTGACGAGATGTTGATAACACGGCCGGGGTCTTCTGCTGTTGCGTCTTTGGCGAGCCATGACGAAAGGCTTTGATACGTTAACGAAACCCCAAAGCCCAAAAATAGACGCTTACCCAGCAGTCACTGAATGTTATGGATGAGAAGGGATTTTGATCTCGTAATAGTATTTGACAACTCACGATAAAAGAGGCTCTTAACATTCACGGCCATGACGTTGTCCCACCCTTTGTCCTCTGGGACGGCGTTGAAAGGAGAGCCCCATGAGACACCAGAATTATTCACGAGGATGTGCAATTTGTTCGCTGGTTCGAGTACAGAAAGAGCAGAAATCAAGGCATCCACGCCAGCTTTGTCCTGTACGAAAATCAAGGAATGCGTGCCTTGTATTAGCCCTGGAGACGGACGCCCGTATCACATTACTCACGGTGAGATTTGCGACGATGTAGTGTGCACTCCCAGGTCTCCGCGCGTTGAGTTCCGCCACTGCCTATTAAACAATGAGCGAAGGTGATCAACCACTGCAGGGTTCACGCACTTGTTTCAGTTGGCCTTCCTTCCGAGCCGCGATGTAGACTTTGGCACCGTTCTGGACGAGTGCGGACGCGATTGTTTTGCCGATTCCTGTTCCACCGCCTGTCACGAGCGCTGTTTGATACGACATGTAAGTATCGAAATTGTCCAGAATACATGGATAATAAAAATGAGTACCTATTTTTCCGCGGACGTCGAATAATGACTGAACCAATAAATCTAGGGCGTTAGCAAGGGGAAGATGCGTCAGTGTGAGCTCCACACCACCGTCATCGGGATGCATATACCTGGGGAAGACATGGCGGTTTTAGGTTTATGTCGAGTTATGGAATGGTTGACTGCAGCTCCCTGGGGACGTGCTAGTGCACTGAAAGCGACCAAAAGTCTGAGACAATCTCAAGGGGCGGGGCTATTTCAAGTTGAGGTTGTGGTGTGGCTCCGGCTTTAGAAAGAATTCCGGTACCGGTATGCACGTGCACGTCACCTTTTCTTGCAGTGCGACTCGCGACGACGACGAGCTAGCATCACCATGGAACTCGAACAACCTTTTTAGATTTCGAGTCCTTGGATAGCTCACACTTGTCCAAATGTCATTCAAATCAACGGCTCCATGTTTCCCCCGCTGTTGGGAATTGCCGCGACTGCGGATAGTTACGACATGAACGACAGTTAACTTGACGCGTTCAACGTGCCCATCCATGATGGACACGCCTGAATTCCTCGACTGTACAGCCCTGCATGCGATGTCTCATCAGTTCCACAATGATGCGGTTTTACGCTACCAGGTCGCCACGCGCCAACTGGCTGCGTGTTTGCTTGTATAAGAACACCTCAAAGGGTGGCATTGACCTTTACTAACTCCCTTAGATGTATCTCTTATCTATCTTCTTGGTATATGCGTTGCTCACCTTTGCTACTGCTCTGCCCCTCTCTGCCCCTCTCTCAATCGCCCTCGACAAGAGATCCACACTGACGAAAAATGGCATCGTCGACCTGAATGCTGTTCGCTCTCATGTCACTCATTTAGAAACGTACGCATCTTTTGGCCTTGAGTTTGCGATAATCTTATCTTTGGCTATCAGAAAATATTTGCGAGGTATTGCAGCCTTCAAGAGGAACACTGGTGTAACTCCCTCGTCCTTGAAGGACAACGTCAGACGTGCAGCCGGATCTGATACACTGACAGACGACAGTAACACAAGATGGTACGGTACCATCACGGTTGGTACCCCTGCGGTAGAATATAAGGGTGGGCTACCCTTCACTATCATCCTATACAGCTGTCTTCATCTCAGTTCAGTGGATTTCGACACTGGTTCCGCGGACCTCTTCCTGCCTGCATCGAATTGTGGATCGACATGCGAGGGCCACACGTTGTATAACCCTAATGCCAGCTCCTCAGCTGTTGATCTGAACAAAGCATTCAACCTTGTGTATGGCGATGGTTCCACGGTCCTTGGCGAGCAATACACCGACACCGTTGGTATCGCAGGCTTTATAGTGAGTCCATTCTGTCTCGTTTGTCCTATTCTCAGCATAACTGGATGGTAGGCCAAAAGCCAGGCGCTCGGTGCGGCCTCGCAGTACTCCACAGGTTTCGAAATTGCGAATTTTGCACCGGACGGCTTGCTGGGCATGGCGTTTGAAGATATATCCGAGTTTCAAGCAAATCCACTCGTTCAGACCCTCGTCGCTGAGGGAGCAATTTCTGACCCAGTATTCGCCTTCAAATTAGCTTCCTCAGGATCTGAATTGCGTATTGGGGGCGTCAATTCGGCTTTATACACTGGGCCGTTCACCTATGCCCCCGTCACCGAACAGGTAAGAAGCTTTGAGGCACCATGCATTGCGACCTTGACATGGTCACTGGTCAGGGGTTCTGGCAAATCAATGGAGATGCCGTCAATGCGAATGGCACAGCCATTGTCAAGGACTTCCCTGCGGTCGTCGACACAGGCACTACACTGATCCTCGGGGATATCACAACCGTCGGTCAGTTCTACGGCGCTCTCAACGGGACGGACATAGGTAGCGGGTTTTACACACGTAAGTCGTACGTACTGTCATTGCCCACATTCCTCATCTTCTCGTCTTCAGTGCCTTGCAACTCCATGCCCAGTGTCAGCATCACGATTGGTGGGAAGCCATTTACACTTTCCGCGGAAACATTCAATCTTGGCTCATACGACTCCTCCGGGGAGACTTGCGTGGGCTCTATATTGTCCACTAGTTCTCTTGGAGGTACGTTCGTCTCTGCAAAACTCTCCTTGCGGTTTGCTGACTCATGTGATCAGACATTTGGATTCTGGGAGATGCATTTCTCCAAAACGTGTACTCGGTCTTTGACCTTGGAAACTCAAGAGTCGGCTTTGCTGATCTAGCATGAAAAGAGAACATTTGTGACGGGGCTGCAGTTGATCTGCAGACTTGCTCCCTGGACTTTGCATGGACATTACTTTGTTATAACTAACCTGTACCTTCGGATTTACCCATGCATCAGGTACTTGATGTACATTACACACGCATTATATAAAGGACCTTGAGCTCCATGAGCGCTTGAGAAATTGGGTCACCTGAGTGCATGTTTGCATATTTATATACATAGCCTATGCATGTGGGGGCCGACCAACGACGTTCGACATGGCCACCCCGTCAACGAAAACGCTAGACCACATCGTGCATCTCACACCACCTGGGACAGTAGAGGAAGTTTCGCAACAGTTCAGAGATTTGGGCTTCACGTTCGTGCCGCGCGCCTCACCGTGATCTGCTAAAGTCACTCAAACCTTCCCTACAGGGTCACACCTGGCGGAACTCACGCTGGAGGTCTCACAGCAAATGCTCTTGTGGTACGGCTACATAAATGCTTAACGGATTTGGGCGTTGAAGCACATATGCCCCAGATCCTTGGAGACGGGGCTTACCTGGAGCTCATATCATTCACCCACCCAGCCTCGCATTACCCACCAGGATCGCCCGGTCGTCTAAAGCGCGATGCGAACCCTTGGGCTTGGAAAGAGCCCGGATGGATCGACTACGCCTTTCTCGGTTCATCGACCGTGTCGATTTCAGATATCATAAACGAACGCGCGAAGCAGGACGGCAGTGGTGTACGATATGTCCCCGAGGTAGACGGGGGCCGTGTACGAGAAGATGGCAGGGTGCTCAAGTGGGTGATCAGCGCTCCGGATGAAGATCGCCCTCGAGGGACAGTGCCGTTCTTCTGTGGCGATGTGACGCCCCGAAGCTGGAGGGTTGGTGCGCGCTGGGTGGTCTCTGGGGCTCTTGCTGATTGATTGGTTGGAGCACAGGTTCCCATCGAACCGCCGTCAAACTCTGAACATCCGTCTGGTGTGCAAGGGGTCGCACATGTCCGTCTTTTGGCAAGGGCTGAATTGTTGGGTGGCTTGTCCGCTCAGCTGGCGTCGGTGATCGGCGACCCGCCACAAGCGAACATTATGAGGACGGAGTATATCTGGAGATTGAAAACGCCGTCAGGGGTGTCAGGTGCTCGGGAACCACTGTTGATCTTGAGTACGCCCAAGAATGATGACGAGAAGGCGTATCTCGACGAAAGGGGCCCAGGCATCTTTGAGGTAGCGTTTTCGGTGGGGCAAGGTGGCACGGAAAAAGAATCGAAGACGCCGTACGGAAGGATAGTTTGGTTGAGGTCATAATAACGTATGTATAACTTGAAGAACGCCCTGTAAATCACCCAGACATTACCCTGGCCTGTAAGAAACTCATCCAAGTGCTGCTAAGTAACAGTGTTGTTGCGAGCTAGTATGCTTGCAATCATCCTGCCCTTGAATAGCTTGACTTCCAAGTAAGCGATCGCGTACCAAACGTAGTTCATAAAAATGAAAGGCAAAATATAAACTTGACCACCGCAGGGGTCGAACCTGCAATCTCCTGATTACACATTTGGTCGTAGTCAGACGCGATGCCATTTCGCCAGGCGGCCGATGATAACCATGAACCGGAGCAACATAAATACCGCTTTCCATAGGCAGTAATTTCCAGATGCAAGATTAGGCAACCCACGACCAGTTGAATGCGATGCAGATTGAAGAAACCAGGAAAACTGCGAAAAAATACTGCAAACAGAGGACTTGTCACCGCAGTGAACGAGGTATTTGAAGAAGTGAAGTTATATACTTGGAGAACTCGGTTGTGGGCTTGTCAAGTGCGAAATTCAAAGAGGAGTGCGTCTCTTCAAGCTTCGTGCACAAGAACTTTACATAAACAGCGAAGTCGGTTTGAAGCACCTGGGAAGCACACATTTTGCCGTCCGCCTCATATCACGATAATGAGGTGGGTATAAGCACTGACAGTTGACGGGCAGGTCACTGTGTCCATATGCTACCCCGCTTGGGTTCATCGTCAAGATCAGGGGCGTCCATACTATACCAGCGACGGATGACATCGATTTTGACGGAGAGGAGCACGCTGTTGAATTCGAAAAGCTCCGTGGTCATGTTGATGAAAATGGCAAGACCGCATTGAGTGATAGTGTCGAGGGTTCCGGGGTGGATGACCATGAGAAAGGCAAGTGGTTATCAGATAGCGGACTGTGATTCCACGGATAACAGAACGTACCAATGTACTGTTTGATATTGTGCAGACAGCTGGATGCTGCCGGCGTTGTCCATTGTAGTGGACAGACCATTATGCGGTACTAAAAAATACCTCAAAATCCTTTATGTCACCCAGCAACATCTCCGACAAGTCGGGGATACATGAGCCTTCGTATGAAACCCGTCACTAAAATGGCGAGTGAAAAGTCAGAAATCTGACATGTCCGTAACGGGTCGGCGTGTGGTTTCCAAGAGGGAAGAACAAGAAGCCTGGGGATCAGAAAAAGATGTCAGCGAGAGGAAGATGACCGAATCGGTTGGAAAATCGATTCGAGGTGTGGGTCGGGCTGGGGTTGGGGTCGGTTGGTAGGGAAAAGGCGCGCGACCCGGTAAGAGGCAGCAGGGTAGGGAGGACGTCATTGGGGTCGCCCGGTGAATGATCTATGGCAGTCGATCGTGCGATGGAAGGAACAGCCGCCATGCATGTCGATGCAAGAGTTGAACGAGAACAATCTCAATTGTAGGGCTAACGTACCTGCTGGACAGCACTGGGAGCTATGGCACAAACAGGTTCTATTGGGTGACGGATGAGGTAGGTGTGTGAGTCAATGACGCGCAACACATGTTTGATCCTCAGATCTAGGGGTTAGAAGATTGGGAGAAGATTGCTCACGATGCACTGCGGCTCCGAGTTCCTGTGTGGGATATGTCACGGGAGTCCCCAAGAGCAAGATTAATCTGGGTATCATTTTCGGAACAAACTATTCAGACCATCCACAGAAGATCGCTGTATCCCTTCACCGCTTCTCCTTAACCTTCAACCACACCACACCAACCACACCGACCCCAAAGCCAACAATAAACGCAAACAGCACCAAAACATCCCTATAATAACTGTCAAGTACGAACCCGAAGAGCTGAAGACCGGTGAGCAATAAATCCAGTGACCATATTCCGACACTGAAATTCTCACCAGTTGCATGATTAACGCTGCGGAGACATTGACCGGAACACCCTGCAGTACGTCTTGGATCATCAGCCCTGATCCTACTTCGTTCACAGAAAGAGCTTCAAGGGTGTACTATATATTTATCTTAGTAAATAACAACATTCATACGGTGACAACTTACTTTCAGAGGGCACAACCATTGCAGCCATCTTAATACCGGTGGAATGGACGTCAAATGGACGAAGAAACCAGCGAAAGTCATCTGGTATAATGCTGTGAGAGCTGAGATGAGGATCGCAATACCGCCATTGCGGAAGAGTGTCGCAAGGAGGAAGTTCTGTACGACGGTCGGTAAAAGAGGAGTATATGTGCAGAGAGCGAGACTCACGAAAAGCGTCATGACGAGGGTGTAAAGAACCAGGATGAATAAGAATTTGAAAAAGTGGGCTGCATCATGAGCAAGGCCGGCCATCCAGTATGTCCTGTCACGCAGTGCGAGTCAGTGCTTGGAAGTCAAGGCTACAATTCCATCAACGAACGTGGTGGACACGATGATAGTTGGCAGTATGCGCAATGGAATAGCATCGAATAAGAAACGAGATAGGAGCCACGCCGCTGGACTGGTGAGCAGGTGTCAACTTGCGCCACTTGGGAGAATGTCGTGAAGGCGAACCTATAGTACGAATTGGACCGCTCGCGGACAAAGAGTGGCCGAACTTCAACGATGTTGTACAACGCACTTAAAGATGAGAAGGCAACAAGTGATCCCTGAGCTCTACAATCAGAACATCGTTTCTGCATGGCAGGAGGGTTACTGACCAAGAAGAATAAACATCCCACACGAGACTGGAATCCGGCAATGGTTACCCCGGTATTGAAGTACAACCCGCCTAGTGTAATGACTTGTGAGCACGGGGAAGATATGTCATGAAGCTGACGTACCACAGAATGCTCCCAAGACGGCAGATACAATCACATGCGTGAAGAACAGTGTCTTGTCCCTACGTTATTCCATCACTCCAACTACTCAACGACAGGGAACACAACGTCACTCACCGACGCAGTAGTTTCCATTCACGACCACACAGAACCTGAAACTGTGTCAGGAATGTCGTCGCGCACTCCCCCGTCAAGCTTCGTTTGGGACCTGTCAAAGCCTCGGCGTCCATTGGACTGCCCTGCTTTTCAGAGCTGGGTGCGTTTACACCCCTATCTTCGGCTGTTCCCTGTAAACCTCTTGAAGATGAAAACAACCTGGTTGGAGCAGCGCTCGCAATTTCGAGGAGGTAGTCCGCGACATTGTACCCCTCTTCATATGGTGGTACTCCTGAGTCCTCTGCTTGAGCGATGGCTGCATCGCGAATGTTGGTGAAATACTTGGCAGGAGCCAAAGCACCAGGCCCCGAGTACAAGGCTCGCCCGTGCGAGAGGAGGAGAACGGAGTCAAACGAGTGATAGAGTCGTGAGCTAAAAGGGCATATGTTACGAACCAAGGAATAAATCGAAGGGGGGAACCCACCTCGGCTGATGAACACTGCAAATGACCGCTACACCTCTGCCACTCCCATCTCCTTTCACGACACCAAACAATCCGCCGCCTCCCCGCGCCACCTCCTTAAGCACATTCACAACACGCCAGGCGCTAACAGAATCCAAACCGCTGGTAGGCTCATCGCAGACCAGGACATCAGGACACCCGACGAGCTCGAGCCCAATACTCACTCTTCGCGCCTCTCCTCCGCTAATCCCACGACCCGTACCATCGGTTGCGCCAATTCTGGTCTCTGCGACATCGTCAAGACCGAGCCTCGAAATAACAGCCGACACAAGTGCCGCCTTCTTCTCAGAAGAAAGTGACTCGGGCAGTCGCAGAGATGCCGCAAAAGTGAGAGCTTCCCTGACTGTGAGAACGGCTGGCAGTATGTCGGTCTGCGGCACGAAAGCCACACGTGGCCGTTGTCCGTTTGCTAGTGGGGGGAATGTGATGGAGCCCGTGAATACTCCGGATTTTGCCTTTCCTGCGATCAATTCCACCAGTGTCGTCTTTCCAGCACCACTAGGCCCAAGAATAGCCATCAGCTCGCCGGCGGGGATGTGGCCGCTAACGCCATCGAGGATCGTCGTCTCGGCAACGTTACTCCGCCGAGAGAAGACCGAAGCACCCGATGGCCCCACGAAGTACGAGACGTCTGACCAGCGAACGGCGACTCCGCCACTTTGGTCGCCATCAAACGGTCGTTTCCGAGCAGATCGTTGGAGAACCCATCCCCAGACAACCGCAGCAGCCCCAATTGCGATCAGGCCGCATACAACTGCCAGGCCAGCAATGACACCTCCGCCAAGTGGTTGCGAGGCCCCGCTCTGGCTGGATGACGTCGTCCCGTTGGCTGAGTCAATGACCGCCTGGGTAACACACTCCCCGAAAACACAATTCTCCATCGCAAGACCACTGGACCCGAATAAGGTGTTCAGGATTTGCTGCTGGAAGTGACATGTGTTTGTGGTGTCGCAAACGATCGTCAAAGTGCCTGTGAGCGTGTTGAGTGCACCCGCCAAGTTGGCAGATGAGCTACCTCCGCAAAACGTCGTGTTTGCGATACAGTCACACTGTAGGTTAGAACATGTCCAGGTGTCCGTGGTATTCGTCGATGATTGAGTGCATTGTGTGGCGATACATGAGAATTGCTCGACACCCGCGTAGAATAGCTGCGCGTATACTGCTAAGGACCCATCCGGAGAAAGGGCCGTGCCTGATATGTTGTGCAATGGTGATAGAGAAGCGTTGTAAGTCCGAAGAATGTTTAGGGTAGATTGTAACGGGTATATAGCTTCCAATGTCGGATTCTGGTGCAAGGAAAATTTAGTGAGGCCTTCCCTGCAGCTAGTGAGAATACCTACGTTAACCTGGCAGCTAAGTTCACCTGCTGCCCACACTGTAGGCATGGTATTGCACACCATGGTGTCGTTGATACCAGACACCTGGGCGGCGGTTGCACTGGCATTACCGTTTACAGCAGAGTAGGCGGTCTGGCACGCAGACGAACTGGTGCAAACATTACAACCGATCCCAGTCCATCCATTGGAACACGAACATCCTGAGGAAGTCAAGTTGGGAAAACCACCAGAAGCAGGGGATGGAGGAGCCAGAGAGCGACTGGAGCCATCAAATATCGTACCCCCACAACCCGGTTGGGAACAATTCGAACCTCCAAATCCCGGAGGACACAGACATCCAGAGGAATCTGGCGTCCCGTAGTTGGTGCACGACTGTGCGGTGACAGTGAGCAGGAGTGATGCCAAGGCAAGGCCTTGAAGAATCCTTATGATGATTTGAACGGATGGTAGCATTTCTGGATCTCGTGGTAGACAGAGGCGCCTGTACTGACACGTGGATGGGGAGACTGAATGATTTAACGACGGGGCATTCTCAGGAGCATG